GACTCGGTATAAGTTATTTTACTACAGAATATGGAGGAAAAAATGCCTCAATCAAAAAGAAAGACCCACTCCGGCCGAAACCAAATATAGATAAAAAAATTATATATACATAAGTCATCGCAATATCTCAATATTTTTTAACACCCAAGGTCTCACATCTAGTCTAAATAATCGAAAGATATCATTATCAAAATTCGTGGTATATATGTCCCTCAAGAAGTGGGAGCATATATGTAAATATTCAACAAAGGGTTTTAGAGTTCTTTAAACACACTTCGTGGTCATGTTGTAGCGCGCTCTCCAATAGTGCGCATGATCCTATATTAAAACATCCAAAACTGGCATCATTTGTCGCCACGACACCAATCGTCCAGCTTCGAAGACCTGGTCTTTTCAGGGACAGAATTATGTATCTTGTTAGAGCGACATGACGAAATTTGATATTCGCTTCTTTAATCAGCTTTTCCAGTTTTCATAATATGCATTTTTTTTAGAAGTCTCATTAGGAAATGAGAATCTGTATTCAATATGAATATTTAATTCCAATATAGAAAACATAAATATAATAATAATATTTATGCAACAAAAGTAAGAATTTTATAAGATATTCTAAAGTCGGTTTATTGAATTTGAATGTGTTCAAGATATTTCAGCATCTTTTAAAAATTACGCATTCCCCATTATTTATTCGCAATCAGCTATATGATAATTATTTACCAACCAGATGAAGATAATTATATGCCTTCATTTTATGTAGTAGCTAAAATGTAGGCGTGTAGCGTGTGCAGACACTTCTTATCGCATCATATTCAAATCATATGAACATGTTGTCATGATATTCATGTAATATTTGCCAATGGACGTTAACATTAATTCATTATTATGATCTGTTTCTATCTGGAACGCATCGTTATTTCGTTTTCGTTCTCATTAAATTAACAATCTCTTTTGTTGATTATTATGAGGCAAACGTATTACTTGTTTATAACCACTGGGTCGATTCCACTGCTGGTGGAGATTTCATCCACGAGGATATCACCAGTCCAGTAGCCAGCACTTCTGTGTTGACGTGAATTATCATTGATATGATTATAAATATACAAAACCTTGATTTTTCTAAATACTAAGGATTTTCTAACTCAGGAATACATCACCTTCGCTGTATTTTGCAAAAACTTTCGGAATTTCGGGTCCAAAATGCTCTTTAATTTCGTACTTTATTTGGTCTTTTTACTTTTTGTATTCGAGCGAAACTGACGAGTCTTTTGTAGACGAAACGCGCCTCTGGCGTACAAAATTTTAAGCCTGGAATCTATGATGAGTTTTTTTTTTTTTTTCTACAGAAAAAAAAATCCTTCTGATACAGATTATGTCTTCATACTGAAATGCACACCACAATGGTGTGATGTCCTACCGCAATTATTGATGTGTACAATAAAAGGTAAAATAACACAATTACCAAACTCTAAGGAAAATTCAAAAAAGGTTGGTCTTAAAATAGAGAAAAGACCAAGATAAGAACGTTTGTCACAGTAAAGAATTTGGCTGTTTTTCTCGAATATTTACAAATGTCATACATGTATATGTGTACATGAATGGATAGATTTGACTACAACTGAAGTCCATGCATATCATTCTAATATTTCTACTTTTTGAACTAACTAATATAAAAATAAAAAGGTGTGGTATAATTGTCAATGAGACAACTTTCCACCACAAACCAAATGACGTAGAAGTTAGCAACTATAGGTCAACGTACGGCCGTAAATAAGACACAAATCAATCTATGACACATGTAATTGAATTTAAGATAGAATCATTGACAACTAAAAGAGAGGCGAACGATATTTAAGGGGTATTAAAACTCGTAGTTCGATGATAGTCAAACTGACAACACAATGGCAAACAGTATACAAATCTAAAGACTTACCAACAAGAACCCCACGAAAAACTGAGGTTCTCCACAAGGAAAGTTACAAGCTTTTTAGTGTTATATTTCTTATTTTCAGGCAAAGACAAAGAATACTAAACTTGATTCATTTCTGTATAAGCAGTTTCCGAAACATCCTTTCAGTTTGTTGACATTTATTCTCTCAGCTATGAAATCAATACCAGATTGGATAGTAATTCCGGGATTGTGTTGATCAGGTTAAAATTAGGATACTATTCAATTTCAAAGATTTGTGCGAGTACATTATGTACATAAACAAAGGCCTTTTTGATCGAGAAATAAAAGTGAAATCGTAGGTCTCGATCCCTTCCCTATACATGAGCACAACCACTCTAGCCGTATTGAGTTTGAAAAGACTTCAGAGATGACCTCAGCTTTGGAGATGCTGACAATGCTACATGTGTCAAAGAGATATAACCCTTTCGAATGGATATGCTTAACTGCAGAATATAGGGTTAAAGTTAATGCAGTTTTGATTTTCATATGAATTTCTATGCATTTTTTATATAATTCATTTTGGATTATGTCATTTTAAGATCGAATTTGAGTTGTTCTTACAACCTACTATACGTTACATATATGTTTAAACTCAAAATGAAATGTGAAACTCTATCATTGTAACGAGTTAGGGACAGCTACAACTGAATTTATTTCACCAACGGTCAATTTTTCCAAAGAAATATTCTTCAATCTCTATAATTTACAGTATAACAGCTTCATGTGTGTACTTTGAGGTTTAAACAGCATTTTGTAGTATTTTCAGAGTTCAGTTTAATAAACAAATGTCCAAACGAGGGCTCAAACCTGCAATTTTGAAAACTTATGCCAATTTCGAGTACTTACCAAAAATTTTACATTTTAAACTAATACCACATTTTGCAAATACTTTTGTATGATATATAGTACCCAATAGCAATAAAAACGATATTTCTCTTGTTTGTTTATATGGTAAGTTGTTACAAAATTCTTCATTTATATATGAGGGTGTGGATGGGGGTTTACAAAATAGAGAATAATTGGCAAAAAATATAAAGAATAGAGAAAAATGGACCAAAAAAATAAAGAATAGAGAATAATGACGTGCTAAAATATAAAGAATAGAGGATAATGGGCAAAAAGTATAAAGATTAGAGAAAAATGGCCTAGAATATACAAATGAGGGACCCGAACCCAGACCCCCATATATATTTCGTACTTTGTAATAGTTGAACTCCACCAGATTTCATTCATGATATATATCGTTCGAATTGGACACCGTGGGTGAAATAAATTAACGGTAAATTGACTCTTACAGACTACATTAGTCTTTAATTTACATGCTTTTAATCGCAGGTATTTAATCTATCGTACAAATTTAAATTTCATTTAATCATAAACTAATTATTCAACTCCATTTCACTTATACCTCTTGTGGTTTATGAATAACAGTAAATGAAACTGTATACGATGAGACAGCAACCCAGAGATAATAGATAACGAATGGTTGACATTATGTATAAAACAGATAAATAAACGAAAATCAAAGGGAAGCAACTGATTTGTTTTTCTGATAACAATTAGTAACAGTCTTGTTTACTTTCGTTATATTTTGTGCAATATTCCAGTAGCAGTCCAAATGTCTACCCTTCAACCTTGCCATCACCCTCCCCGGCCCCCACACTTGAAATATCTTCCTACTTTAATAATTGTTTATAGTTACTCGTTCTGAATATGTACGAAATATTTGCCACTGGACGTTGGTCCTGAATATGCAGAATATGCATGAAAAATTTCCCACTGGACCTTTTTCCTGAATATGCATGGAATATTTCTCACTGGACCTTAGTCCTGAATATGTATGAAATATTTGCCACTGGACCTTTGGCAAACAACAATCATTCAATGATCGATGTACACTGAAACTATATTCCACATGCAGTAAACAATAAAACTGAGAATGGAAATGGGGAATATGTCAAAGAGACAACAACCCGACCAAAGAGCAGACAACAGCTGAAGGCCACAAAAGGGTCTTCAACGCAGCGAGAAAATCCCGCACCCGGAGGTGGTCCTCAACGTCTGGTTAAATGTCCAAACAGCCACAAAACTCATGGGTGACGTAAAGACTGACAATTCCTTCTGGAAAATAACAGAAGGCAAAAGAACCGAGACCTGTAATACAATTAAATGAAATAATCTCTAAGCAGAAATAATCTCTTAGCAAAGGTATGATAAGAATACTTATATCATGGAGATCTTTACTGGGTTAAAGTACTCATTTGCTTACTATAAATGATTCTACTTTTAATAGTGTAAATGACATTTAACAGATTTGTAAGTGACGTTATAAGGCGTGCATAATTAAAAAGTCTTTTCTTATCAATTACATGGGTATTAATAATTAGCATTAAATTGTAAGCCTATCACAAACTATACTGGGACAGTATTACATGGATGAAAATATCACTATACCTTAAAAGTTCAAGTGATTTTCAAACGAAAGTTCCATCCTTTCCTAATATTAGGGTACGGATGGGATTCATTCATTTCTGTATTCTTTATTTTTTCTTTATTATTTTTATTCTTTATATTTTAGTTTAGCACCCTATTATTCTCTTTTCTGTAATTTTAGGTTTATTTTTCTCTAATCTATGTTTGTTAGCTCTTTATACTGTATTTTTTGTCAATTATTCTCTATTCTGAAAACCCAATCCGGACCCTCTAATATGAACGATATCCCGCCAGTAGAATTATTATTGAATAATTACCAATATCATGAAACAGCATGTATATAATTGTATACAACAAACAATTTCTTCTTTCCATGTCGTACTTAGTATCGAAAAGAAATACACAGAGGACAGAAATTAATGGCCTTGAAAAAATAATGTTCAAAAATTTAAAAGAAATTCAATGTTAATGTTAAGATATTTTAAAGCTTCATTTAAATGATCTAATTAGTGGGGATGAAGACTTTAAAATTTGTTAGATTATAGTTTATAAAATTACTCGTCTGTGGTCAACCAAAAGCTGATTCATAGGTATATATATACATATTCCAATATACCACTTTAATCTTGCTTACTTTAAACTTAAAGTATCAAGATGCTGATACTGTATCTGTGTTGTCTTTTAACAACCTCTCTGACATACGCTTTGCCTTGGAAAGACGGTAAGAATATATAAATGTTTTTTTTAAGTGTGGAACTGGCAATAATAATTGGGATCTCTCATATGGCTTAGAGCAAAGCGTAGTATTTATTTATTTATTTATTTATTTATTTATTTATTTATTTATTTATTTATTTATTTATTTATTTATTTATTTATTTATTTATTTATTTATTTATTTTATTTATTTATTTATTTATTTATTTATTCATTTTTTATTTTTTATTTATTTATTTCTTTATTTCTTTCTTTATTTATTTATTTATTTATTTATTTTATTTATTTATGAATAAACGAAAAATAACAAGGTACGATATTCCAAGAGGGCCAGAAAGCCTGTTATTTACTATCTCGGAGAAGATGAAAGGGTTGGCAGTACAAATAAATGATATATAGACTAAATGTTGCCCTCAACATATGTCTCATGGTTAGTTTAGTCGTTTGGTTGCTGTCTTATTGACACATATCCATTATTATTTTATTAATATAAAAATAAAATTGATAAATTATGATTCTATCCTAGACACGAACCACTCAGTATTCGGTTCTGAGTTGTGTCAGAAAGTGTACATGTGTTTTAGCGCACCCAAAAAATCCAATGTAATCTGCTGGTTTTTTTTACAAAATATGGTATATTCATATCACATTTTAAAATGTTAGGTTCCTCAATATTCGCACTGTACGTTAAACACCCGATAAATTACCAAGACATGACGTGCAATATGTTTCAATTATAATTTTACTTTATTTCCAGCAAAATTAGATAGAAGAAGCGATATTCGAAGTCTTCTCCATGACGTCTACAGAATAAAAGAGAGGGAAATATACAATACAGAAAAGGAGGTAAGCGTTATAGTTTATTTCATAAACATGAAATTCAACATAGTTTTTTCCTGTATGGGACCAGCTGCTGCTTACTATTCCTTATCATATTAGTTCGTACCTGTGCTTTTGGTGGGATTTGGTTTTCTCAGTCTTAAGTTTTTCGTGTTTTGTGCACTGTTTTTTTTTTTCTTTTCTTTTGGCCGTGGTGTTGTCTGTTTTTCGTCGATTTATGGGTTTTGGTTGTCCCCTTTTATTGACTTTTTCTGTCTAATTGTCATTTTTCTTTTGACAATGATGTTGTCTGGGTTTTTTTACTTATAAAAATAAGAAGAAATTTGATATGATTGCCAATGAGACATCTCTCCACCAGAGACCAAATGACAAATAAGTTAATAGCTATAGATCACCGTACGGCCTTCAACAACTAGCAAAACCTATATCGCATAGTCAGCTATAAAAGGCCCCGAAATGACAAAAGTAAAACAGTTCAAAAGTGAACACTAACGGCCTAATTTATGTACAAATCAATGAACGAAAATCGAATATGATACACAGCAACAAACGACAACCACTGAATTTCAGGCTCCTGACCTTGGACAGGCACATACAGAATGTGGCGGGTATAAACTAGTTTGCCGGCGCAAAACCTTTCGCCTAATCTGGGACAGTAGTGTAACAGTACAACATAAGAATAAACTATAAAAACCAGTTAAAAAGGGCTCTTTTTATAATTATTGCATTGTTATCTCCTCCACTTTGTAAATGTATTTGTAGTTATATCTAAACTGGAGGAAATTGTTTTTACAATCTGATTGAAAACAAGATAATGTGTCCACGCTTTGCTTGCATGTTAAGCGTGGACACAGGGTCTGTATTATTGACAAATTGGTTACTGAATATTTCAATATAGACATAAGAAGATGTGGTATGATTGCCAATGATACAACTCAATGTCTACAACGGAAATTTATTGAAGGAATGTCTTGGATGCTCACGGTCGTTTTCTGCATTTTGAATGAAAAAGGTAAATATAAATTAATATTTTAATGGTACAATTGTGAATACAATTCTTTATTTTTATTTCTAGCCAGAAAATAAGAAGACATTGTCAGAACTGGAAGACAAAGATCTACGAAGAATAAAAGGAATACTACAGAGAGTGAAGTCCGATCCGGAAGAGAAGCAAATTGAAAAAATAAGCCTTAAGCTCCAACCAGTTCCAGAAAATAAACGAAGTCTTTTAAGGGAAAGAAAGCGTCATCTAAAGTTAGTAAATCAACGACGACAACCAAAGAAGAATAAAGGTCGTAAAAGTGAAAAATACTATTTAGAAAACCCAAAGGTAAATATGATTATCAACAACGCAAATTAAAAGTTTCGGTTCCGGTTCGCTAGCTTCTATCATAATTTGAATTTTCATTGTCATATAAATTTGCAGTCTGTTGCCACGTTTCTGTGATAATTGTTTGTCTGACATGAAATCCTATAAAATCGTCGTTGTTAGACAAACTAGTACGTTAAACAGTATATATGTTGACATATTGTATAGGCACCAGCTTTGAGGGTTTGGATGGGGGTTTACAGAAGAGAGAATAATTGGCTAAAACTATTAAGAGTAGAGAAAAAAGACCAAAAACATAAAGAATAGAGAATAATGGGGTGCTAAAATATAAAGAATAGAGAATAATGGGCAAAATATCTAACGAATATAGAAAAATGGTCTAAAAGATTAAAGAATACAGAAATGAAGGACCCCCATCTATACCCTCAGCTATTGTTGAAAACAGTTTGGTGACCATAAGATTGTTTTTGGTTATTTGTGTCGTCTGGTTGCTATCTCATTGATGTATAACGCAGATTGCTTGTTTAGATTTATATCAATGAATCCAATTTTCACATTTGTGATAGAAATAATCACCATGTCATTACATGTGTCATGATACTTTATGATGAACTTACTAGCTTATCATGTGACGCACGAGAACAATATATCCTTTCCTGACACTTTGATATATCCTTTCCTGACACTTTGATATATCCTTTCCTGACACTTTGATATATCCTTTCCTGGCACTTTGATATATCCTTTCTTGGCACTTTGATATATCCTTTCCTGACACTTTGATATATCCTTTCCTGGCACTTTTGTATATCCTTTCCTGACACTTTGATATATCCTTTCTTGGCATTTTGATGTATCCTTTCCTGGCACTTTGATATATCCTTTCCTGACACTTTGATAACCATGGGTTAACTATTTATAGACTTGTAGAATCAAACCTTAGATATTGTATGAAATATACGTCACCGACTTATTGTTTTAGCCCGTCTGGATGTCTTTTTTTTGTCGTTGGAAGTGGGTGCTGTTTTATTGGTGTATACTCCTTACTTCTCTTATTCGTGATTTGAAGATTGGGCTGGCGATAACAGTGCATGCCATTTTTCATTTAAACATAATGTGTATTGATGGTCTAGTCTATAGTTGCCGTTTCAGAATCTAATGCATTCTGGGTAATATATTTTTTAAAAGTGACATTCAAAGAAACGTTGTGATTGGCAAACAACACTCCAATTAATGGAAGTTCAATTAATGACGTGACGTCATTTTCATTTGGGATACAAATAATGATTACCAATTATCCTTTAGTTACTGAAATGGTGATACACTATGGTATTTTCAAACTTACTACTTGATTACTAGCCCTACTAATCAATACCCGGATGTGCTGAACTACATTTGTACTTTTAAAGTAAAATGAAACTTCTAAATTTATCGCGACACACACCGAAAACGGATATTAGCATGCTGGTTAATATCTGCGTAGAACTCCTCCCCTAAAAGATAAATATAAACTAAAATTTACTAAAAGAAATAAATAAATAAATAAATAGATGAAACGCTCCTAGTAAGATATTTCATGAGTTTTAGATAACTACAAACAGTTATTCATGACCATGCAAAAAACCTTATCATTCTATCACCTGAAATGCAGAAAGAGAAAGTTCCTGGTAAATGTCAAGGAATCGTAGATGAATGGGTCGACAGCATGGATCACTTAAATGACAAAATTGTATGCATAAAATTTCCAAAGCCCAAAGGTTTTGTCTTCACGGGCTTTTAAATTTTGAATTTAGTTAATAATCTGGACCTTTTCTCTGTTACATGTAAAGAAAAGTTTGAATCAACCTCAGTTCAACTGATGTAGTTCTTGTATACAAAAGTACCTTCTCCGCTCCGGATATCCCAATCCGCAACCGCTGAGGGATCGGAATCACGAGGAGTAATTTTAATGAAAAGTTTGTAGCACAAGGATAAGTTTGTAACGGTGGATAAATAAAAACTGGATCATATTCCCACGAACAATGTATGCTCCGTGGGGATCCATAGTTTACCTTACTACAGCGATAAACACTTAATGTTGTCATTAACTGAAAAATGTAGTAACAAAGTAACAAGTGCTTTGGACGCATGCAATTAAAAACGTGCTGTTTTCATTTTTTTTTCGGGAATGTCGATTTCTGTCAACTCACTTTTTTTCACAATTTGGGGTTCATTTATGGATGGGAATAACGTTGTTTTTTTTTTGTAATTATATTTTTAGAACTATAATGGTAGCCTTTTCAGCTGCAGTATGAAAACAATGTCAGATAAATATCAACTATTTCGTTCTCTGCACGAAACAGTTAGTTTTCTCGTTTGAATTGTTTTACATTTGTCATTTCGGGGCCTTTTAAAGCTGTCTATGCGGTAAAGGTTCTGCTCATTTGTGAAGGCCGTACTGTGACCTATTGTTGTTAACGTCTGTGTCACTTGGTATCTGTTGTAGACTTGTCTCATTGTCAATCATACCACATCTTCTAATTTTTATAACGACTGTGTCTGTTTTTATTTTTTGTTTTGTTTTGTTTTTTCATTTTTGCGCAGTAAATTTCTCAAAATCTACCGGTCGGACAGAAAGAAAATATACATACAAATAAAACATGCATACAGTATGATGCCAATAGTTAACATCAAATATATTTCTGTTTAAAAAGTATGAAGCAAACTGGACATCAGTATATATGAAGTTTCAATGTTTAGTCAAATAAAGATTTTTCTAATTTTCGACAGATTTTTCGGAATATTGTATTAAAAAGTTTGATTTTGACCACGATAAGGCAGGAAAAACAAAACGTTGGCCTAAATGTTAATTTTATATACAATGATAGCTTTGGCCTAAATGCTAATACCAAGATGTGTTTATTTTGTAACTAATGTAAACAATTATAGAAGTATTGCACTTTTATTTTAATGGTATAACAGTCAGTACTTAGAGATGTAATGTTAGTCTCTTATATCTTCTAAAAGAGATCGATAAAAGAAATATGAAATTCAATAAACGTAATCAAATGCACAAAATTAATCCAAATGCCAATAAGTATTTAACATCGCAGTTGACATTTATTGATAAGCAGTTTAATATTCTACATGCGAATTATGATTAAATAAATCATGATTAAATTAAGAGTGCATATATAGTTGCAATTATACAAAAGTCATGTAGTTTTCAACTAGCACAAATAATTTAGAAAATAATTCAAGGTGTACTTTCCACTGTTTTTGAAGGTTGTTTATTAAATCTGTTATGAACATTAGTTTAATAATTTACGTTTTGTAAGTCGCAAAGTGTTGACATTAATCTTTCATACACGATTTATTGGCACTTTAATGTTTATAAATATTTGCCTCAATAAGAGAAATTACAATAAAAGATAATATAATGGCATGCATCAAAATAATTTGACTGCAAACATAAAATAAAAATTATAAGTTAATTTAATAATTAGTATAGGATCAAACACATTTGCAGGAGTTCATTGATGTATAAACTGGACCAAATAAATCACAAACAAATGACTATTGAAAGTAAAAGGACTTTGAATTAAAATGTTTGTAAAGTTTCTGAATGATTTGGTCCGGTTTACACACCAAGAAAAAACTCAGAAAAAAATGCGAAAAATCCCTATAAGTTTTCAGTTATTTTGTTTTTTCAACTATCCTGATTGAAAACTTGTAGACAAGGTTTGTGCGTGCAACGTGTATTTAAGAGCCATATTGTTTATATTGGTTACGATATGATTTCGGCGAATAGGGTCTATTACTTGACACAAAAATCACTACCGGAAGTGCTTCTCTCGTGACGTCTTAATTACATGTTTTGTTTATCATAAAGCTTGATTATTATCATTTTCTATTACAATATGATCTTAGATATTCAATTATTACCATCGTTGTGCTTTTAAAAATTGAGATATAGGGAAAAATTACTATTATCGATCTTACTCGCAAAAGTATCCTTCCAAATATTGCCAAAACGGTAAACTTATGGGTCCAAGCCGGAAATGAAAAAGACGTTTACAATAATAAAATAAATAGTAAAATTTGTCATTGGAATTGATAAATTGACAATATATCCATACGAATTAAAGAAGATAAAGTGTATAAGTCACTGAAACAGTACACAAATAACACAAACGCAAACTGAAAAGGTTGGTTTAAACAATATTTTATTCGATAAGTCAAATCATGCTATATAATATAATATTATGAAAGGTTATCTTGAGGTCATCATATATATATGATCTTCACAAATACACAACTTCAAAAACAATATGTCAACCGCTAAATCGTCATGATCATAAACAATTTTTGTGAATAAAGTTAATTTTAATTTTAATTTTGATTTTAATTTTAATTTTGGTTAAATTTGAACCAAGTTCAACAAACGCAAAGGGCTCTTAAGGATTCAACTCTCCCCATTTAATTCCTATAGTGCCGTCATATTTGAAATTTGTGTTAAGTGAAATACCAAAAAGTAGACAGAAAAACGCGCAATAAACATCAGTTCAGAAATGCACTATAATGGTTGTTTGCCTGTTTCAATGGTTTTCGATTGTTGTTGTCTGCTATATTTGTGTTTTGTTTTTGTTTTTTGTTTAAAGCAGCCCGTTCGTTTTTCTCGTTTGAATTGTTCATAATTGTCACATGTCGGGCCAAGTTGTCTTTTTGGCAATCATACCACATCTCCTTAAATTCATACACTTTGATATCGGTATTACAAAAAACAAAAACAGGGTGAAACAATATTCCCCAATATTTCAGACCGTTTAAAATAACCGAAAATAAGCCCAAATGACGCCTTTTTATTTCACCAATATCGACAGCTGTACTTCCGAGTAGATTTCATGGAGCAACGATCAACAAAAATGGATAATGAATTGATCTGCACTGTGCAGATTTTTATGCCCCACCTACGATAGTAGAGGGGCATTATGATTTTCGGTCTGTGCGTCCGTTCGTCC